ACAGGTTTAATGAGATTAAAATTTGACATTAAGTCAAGGCTTGATAATTATTTTGCTCTACCTAGTTGATCGAATAAGCCAACAATTTAAGGGAGCTGGGTTTATCAGAAAAGAATTATCGATTCATTTGACGATAGTCAATGATTAATTGTTATTTTCTTATTATAGTCTGTAAGGGACTTTATTTGAAAATAACTATAGTGGGCTATTATTGACAGATACAGATGATTCCACAATTTGAATATACTTTGTACCTGGGCTTTTAGTTTTCACCCTGTATTTCTTTTGGTTTATATATGTTAAACCCAGCAATATTTCATCATCTTTTCCGAAATATTGCGACTTTGTCAATAACAATTTAATTGTGCCATATTGCAAAATAGCTATCGATTGCATCAGATAGCGCAAATTAAAAAATTGAAATAATTCTCGAGTAATGTAAATGAATAAGTAGAAAATTAATTGATATCTTGCTCGAAAGAGCCAAAAAATAAAAAAAAATTGTAATATCCAGGAAAGCAATAACCAATTTAAAAGTTTTCCTGAACTCTAAGGAGTTTGGATCAATAATAAAAAAAATATCAAACGAAATATAAACATGACTCATGAAAATATATAATGGAATTCGCATACTTTCATAATAATCGCATTTGTTGAACATTTGGAATTATGTGGTTCAATGAATGCACAACTTTTGGTTTACATATTAGTAATATTCAAGTTACAAAAGTTTTACTTATTATAAGTTTACACCAAAAGTTGTGTGTTAGTACATGGTTGGGAATGGATTTTTTGTTAGTTCTTAATTTTACCAATAAGACTTGCGTAAAACTACGCCTTGTGCCAAATTGGGATTTACTTATAAACTATGTACATAATATATATTGTTTCAAAAAAAAATTTTTTTTTTTTTATTTATTTTCTCCTCTTCTTCCGGCGACGGCACAGGGGGCGGTCCAAAGCATCCCGCGTTTTTTTTTTTTTACCTCCAGCGGTGGCACAGGGGGCGGTCCAAAGCCTCCCGCGCTTTTAGTGCAGCTTTCTTCTTCCATCGGTGGTGTAGGGGCTTTGCCATGCCACCCACACTTTTGGTTACCTTCCAGCGTTGGTGCAGGGGCTTTGCCATGCCTCCCACACTTTTGATATAGCTCCCAACGGCGGCACAGGAGGCGGTCCTATGCCTCCCGCGCTTTTAATATAATTTCCACCGGCGGCACAGGGGGCGGTCCAATGCCTCCCGCGCTTTTGATATATAGCTGCCTAGGAACGGTCAGCGGTACCGGTGCCGGTCATCGCACAGGTTTATGGCTGATGATTGTATATATATTTTTATATATATATATTTTTTTTTTTATTATTATTGGCCCTTTTGACTCAGGCGGCGCCGGTGCTGGTCATCGCACAGGCTCGTAAAAATTTTTTTTTTTTTATTTATTTATTTATTTAAAAAGAAATTTTTTTTTTTTATATTTGATTAATCTTGATATTTTTAAGTTGTATATTTGTGATTAGCACTTCAATTGTTTTGTTTTTCCATAAATTCTTTGGATTTGCTTTGGATTCTTAGTAATTCCCTTTTAAGTTCTTTCATTGGTTACGCCGTTGTTTGTTAATATAAATCAAGTTTCAGATGCTTGAAGTTCAAAATATGGGGTGTACGAATAAATGTTGTGGGCACTGTATATGAATATTTGAAATACACAGGGAACTCGGTTTCAGATACCGCGCGCTTGGCTTCTTTTTTTTTTTTTAAACACGTCCGAAGATTGTGACTATGTCACGGTCGCCATGTAGTGAAAGATGCCCATTAATTAAAATGCACAAAGTTATTACGGTTTAAAATATTTATTGAGAGCTGGAGCAGGCTAGGTCCTACTCCAGGAACATCCGATTTTATTTTCTGCTTACTTAAGAAATATTGGCCTTTGCTCACAATTCATATAGCTGCGCGAGCAGCGCCGCGGCCGAACGTTATTGTATATAAACATGTATATTAATATATGTGTGCCGCTGCAGAGCAGCGGTCAACGCTTATGCATAAGTGTATACGGGCGGCGCAAGCAGCGGGCGCGCATGAGAGGGAGAGTGTTATGCTCACACTGTATACGAATGATCGGCCGCGCATGCAGACATGCCGGCTCAGCATTTAGGATGTTCATAACATTGTTGTGTGGATCGGATTACTCCGCACTTGAAGTGCTGGGAATATTTGGCCATAACCAAACGCCACAATGTTGCAGTGATATACATAAGTGGTACAGTGTGTACCCGATATGTGAGCATACTACAATATACAAATTTCTTCGATAGACAGCACTACTTTCAAACCAAGAAAAGGAATGGAAAAATTGAGAGTTTCAAGAAACTGTGTTTAACACCACACTTGCCATCTCCTTTATTTTCTGCTCTTTATTTTTTTAACAGCTTTCTTTTAAAAACACTTCTCAATTAAACAACCTTGCTCACTAATTTTGGTTGGTAAAAAAGAAGACATCTGCCAGAGTTGCCGACTAACTAATTGCACACAATTTTGCACAAGCTCCATTTACTAAAAAATAAAGCTTCCAGCTACATTTTTCTCCCTATTAGTATCTCTTTTTCGCACAGACACAAACACAAACACACACCTACACAGTCACGTGAGACAACATCCTTGTAGCAACAACAATTAGAACAAGGATCACGTTTTAAGTAAGAACATTTTATTAAAATGCTGGAGTCGCAGTGGCAACAAATGAGATAGAGTAGCGCGTTTTTAATTTGTGCAACAACCAAGGTGCGAGGGAGTGGGCGATAGTGAGCGAGTGAGACGGAGATAGCGGTCACATTACACGGCACCCGAAAAACGGAGCAACGCGGCGTATACTTAACAACGGCTGGCGACATGGCCAAAAAACCGGCAACGGACCCCAAGTACGTGTTGCCATAAGTGTTACATGGATGTGTGTTTGGTGTTTTGTGTTTGGGTGTGGGTGTGTGTGTGAGTGTGGGTGTGCGAGGGATTCGAGAGTGTGCGAATGACTGTGACCCAAAATCATTAGCAATATGAGCAGCAGTTTGTATTAAAAACAAAGCCAGAGTCGAGGGGAATGGGCTGTGATATGCAAAAAGTTTACCAAAGGATTGAGTAGATAGTAGTCCTTGGGAATTCTCTGTAAAATATAACAAAAGGGTTTTACAACATATTTTCAAAAGCACTAAACTATTTTACAAATGATAATTCGATTTTGGTAGTATATTTTTTGAGGAATGATATTTCTTTATTTAATTACACCTTTAAAACGAGTTTACAAACTTTATTCAGGTTTTATTTAAGCTTGAATACAGTTCGGAAATATATATTGCATTTCTTTATTCAGATAAATCTAATGATAGTAGAAGAAATTTCAATCTTTATGGAGCTTTAATCACGCATATACTAATCAGTATACCTCAAATATCCATCATCCAGAAAAGTCTGCTCTCTTTTATTTTCGGTGGCATGTGTGTGCCGGGCAAAAGGTTAAATTAAATGGCTAAATGATAAGCATTTGGGTTAAATTGCTCCGCCCGGCAAGCCGAAGAACACAAAACGTGAATATATGGCAAACTGAGGGGATTCGTCCCCTTTTTTTCAGACTGAACGAAATGCGTACAGTCGCTTCTAATGTTTTTAATAGCAAAAGTTATAATGAATTTGTTAAAGAGCAACAGAAGCTGTTGGGGTGAGTTTCGTTCTTGATTGTTTGGCGCTCTGTTTGTGTTTGCCTTTCTTTCCCATCTCCCCGGTTTTTGTAAATTTTGTTAGCCTCTCGCATCGAAATTATTCTGTGTTTTTCGGTTTGTTAGGTAATCAGCAGCGGCGAGCTTAATTTTTATTTTTAGTGAGCTCCGTTTCTGCGGTTAACCTGAAGTCGGGGCTGTCAGCATTTTATGTTTATGTGTGCTGCGCATTTTAAACAACTTTTCCGTTTGTGTGTGTTTGACTTTTATTTTAATCACGCAAAATATTGTGCAAATATTTAATTATGAGCTTGTTAACATTATTTGCATGAGACAATAATGTGACCAAAGCCATTTGTCTGAATACAGATTAATGTCGTTCATGGGAATTGTCATCATTAATACGGATAGGAAAGAACTTTTAAAAGAGGGATTGTTTGAAATTATTTATAGAACGTTTTAAACTTTCCCACAAAATAGTTTCGTTTATAGTTATTTTAGTCAGAGCACTTATTTTTTAATTTGGTTATATCTTCACTGTAAGATCACCCAAGCCAAAGCTGATTGAAATCAATTTTCTAGTCTCAGGTGATGCAGTTTCCTCGGTTCGTTTCTCCTCAAAAAGCACTTATTCAGAGTTTTGCATAAGATCTGAATGGCACACAAGGTCTAAGGCTGCCGCCACCCAACATTCGCAGTCGTTGTCCGATGAGAGGAAGTTTTCTCTCGGCCTTTCGAGCAAACAACTCGTTAGGCTAATGAAATTTCTTGTGCGATGGCCAAGAAGTGCGGAGGGTGTCGATGGCCCGCAGCTTATCACAGCTGCCGCATCAACAGGCTGCATGGAAAATTCAATTTTGCAACACTAATTGAATGGTTTATTTTGACAAGGTGGCCCCATGTTAGCTGATAACCCCAAAGGGTTTGCCGCAAATACACACAGTCACATGGAAACACGGAAACACGAACACTTGCACACCCACACACTCGCACACTCGCACAGGTGAGTGCAAAATTGGAGCAACAAAATTCACTTTGCTGCATATTGTTTGTGGCAAATTTATAGCCTGGATATCGCGTGGCCCCCGCAGCTATTTTCTAACAAAAATTGAAAACTATAACTGGAATTCACTGAGCCAAACATTAAAATATACTGTTGCTTTGGCTGACGTTAATTATTCAGCAGAGCATAGGAAATGAAGCGGTTGAGATTTTATAAACCTAAAAATCAAAACAACAGGAAGCCCTGTATTCGCTCATCTAATATCAAGCACTTTTGTTAAAAAATATAAAACTAGTTTTAGGGGTTGGGAACCAATGGACTTAACCAGCTTTATTTAAGAGAGATCAGGCCTTATTTCTATAGCAGCATCTACAGGTCTTTTCGACTTTAAACCAATACACAACTTCGTGCTTATAACTTTCACCAGGTTCTAAGTTGATTGATGGAAAATTCGGGTGATTCATGGCGTCGGGAAACTTCTCAGTCTCAACGCAAAATGAACCATGTTTTACATACTGAGCTCCCTTTTTTTCCGGTTATAGTTCCCATATTGTTTGCAGTGTAAAATTGCATGCCGGGCTGATCGGTCCAGACTTCCAATGCTCGACCAGTTGGCGGATGAATGATTTTGGCCACCTTGACAACTGATCTTAGCAGCTGGCCTCCGTTGACCACATAGCAATTGTCGTAGCCTTTAATCAACCGATCTTCAAACAGTTTAAGGCGATCGCCTAATATTGCTGGAGATCTTAGATCGAAGAGGGTGCCATTTACAAGAGTCAAATTTCCAGTGGGGATCTGAGAATCGTCCGTTTCCACAATCTCCCCGGAGGCAATCTCCACAGTGTGCTCCGCGAGTCCTTTGGCTCCGGCTCCATGTCCTGCCAAATTAAAGTAGGCGTGGTTCGAGAGGTTCACCACCGTCTGGCGATCTGTGGTGGCTTCAAAGGTGACCGACAAACGGTTATCGTTGTCCAGTCGATAGGTGATGAAGCACGTCAGAGTGCCTGGATATCCTTCGTGGCCATGGTCCGATATGTGCTGGAATTTCACCCCATCCGGCGACTTCTGAACTGTTTCCCAAATGACGCTGTCGAAGCCCACGAAACCACCGTGCAGTTGGAATTGATTCTGGAAGTGAACATTTGTATACTAACCTTGTACATTCTATCATATTAATTTAATTACACGTTATATGTAGTTATAAAAGGGATGTTAAAATTATTGGTGGAATACTATTAGGTACTTCCACTACACCTAACATAAATTTGATTGCCTTAAGGTGTTTAATTATTAATTACCAGAGAATTGTTTGCCTCGTCATTCTTGTAATAAAATGTTTAATGGTTATTTTCCCGTATATTATTATAATGTACTAAGCGCTTTCTGAAACTAATATTTTATTTATAAATTATTACAATCCTAGAATATTAAATATTATTTATGGAATTTTTTATATAAATTATGCTTGGCAGATTGGCATGGTATAAAAAGTAAAACAATTGCAAAAAACGAAAAAATATTATTTCTGGATCGTGTTGTTCCTAATATGTGCTTTATTTTATCATGGTTTTTAAGTAACTAAAACAGTTTAATATATAAAAGATAAGCATTTTCGAATATTTGTTTTAATGAGAACTTAAAAACTATTACTATTTACCTCGGCGTTTTTTGTCAATTGGATTGTCGTGTCGTCGCCGGCCGAGTACTCGCCGTTGGCCACCCGGTTGGCCACTCTGCCCAGAGTTCCGCCGATGTAGGCCGCCTTGTTGGCCACGTAGCCGGCGACGTCGTCGAAACCCAGGCACACGTCGTCCACCTTCTTGTTGCCATCCGGCAGGGAAACGCTCTGGATGGTGGCTCCCAGTGTGATCAAGGAGACGGACATTCCCCTCGCGTTTTTCAAAGTGAAGCTGCGGACCATTTCGCGGGCTTGGGTAATCGGATTGGTGGCCAGGCCGAATGTCTTTTCATCCAGGGTGATAGACATTATTGAGTCTGCCGGCTTGGTTCCTTCCCCAACAAAAAATTTGACAAGAGGTAACTGGTCAGCTTGATAAAACGAACTTAAATAAACAGCAAAACTAATTTTTCAATCCAACCGAACGGAGTTAAATATTTTGAAAGAAATATACAATTTCTTAGTTACGAAGATGTGTATAGAACTCTCCTCATTGTTTGGCTTTGTGGCGTTTGTTGGGGAGTCCCGGTCAATTGAAAACGAGAATGGGCCGCAACTGCAGAAGTTCTCCCCAGTTGGCCATCATTTATGCATGCCAACGTGCTGGCATCGGTTTATCTTCTGTTCTGTGTGCTGTTTGTCTGGATTGTCTGCGGTTGCAATGCTGCATCTTCAACTTGTTGTGGCATTAACGAAGTCGTTGATCTTGCCGCATGTGTTGGCAGCTTGGCTCTAATTGAAATATTTTTATTGCCATTTGGCCCGGCCCTCGCCAGCTGGTGGCGTCATTAATATTCATTACTCGCACAGCCAAATGCATTAGCAGATTGCAGCAAAACAGTCTGATAAATATGTACAAACAGTTCTCGAGCTCCGAGGCTTGAAGCAATGTGCTAATGCTTTAAACTTGTCCCCGAACAAAGCGTTTTATTTGCGGAAGTCATTAAGTGCCCCGGACAGAGGAGACAATGTCTTGGCCCGAATTGCCGGCGCTCTGGAATCCCCTGATTGCGGTTTGTGGAGTGGCACATTTTCGTTCCCGCATTTTTCGGCTTGTCTTGCGCACAATATTACGTATACGCCTACGAGGCAGATGCGACCGCTCCTTGCAAATTGGGTCTTGGCCTTCGTCTTGGTCCTCGTCTTGGTCCTCGTCTTGGTCCTGCGGCCAGGAAATGAAGTTGAAGTCGCCGGCATTACCGCAAAAAGGCGACGTTGCAAGTTGCAAGTGGAATTTGGTGGAATTTGGTTTCCGGCTTAATTTAGCAAACGTTCGCTTCTTTATTTTTGACAGCCATCAGCGGTCGTTTTGTTCTCGGTCTCAGATTCCCTTTGGCGTCTGTTGTATGCAAATTTCGGATACAAGCCGGACATCAGCTGAAAGTCTTGCTAAATATAATGGCATAGTGATTCTCCAGCGGAATTCTGTTCGCTAATGGAAGTTCGGAAAATGTCTCCTAAGAGGAGACTGCTTAAAGTTTTGGCAATTTCATGAATATTTATTTCACATGAAAGGTTTCTGTTGTGACAGAAATACTTTCATAATATAGAAACTGGAGTAGGAATAAATATAAAAAATATTATAGGAACCCACCTTTTGCCTTTACTTTCGAGATAATCGTTATCCACATTAAAGGCAAAAGTGACTATAAAGGTTTAACATTAATTCAAAGACTTACAAATAAATGCTTTTTTTTTCGAAGAAATCCGCATATGGCCTTAAGTTTCAAGCTAATCGTTATCCCACCAGCAAGTGACTTTAATTCGCGTCGCTAAATATTCAATTAGGCACCTTGATATACACATCTAGGCCTTTAAACGGCTCACACCCTCCGAACGAACGACCCCCGTCGGCAATTAAATGTTGCCTGTCGGCGGCTAACAATGCCAGGATAATGTATCCACCCAGAACACCCGACCAGCGGGGTTCATAGTGTGTGTGTGCAAGGATGTGGCCCCCGTATTGGCCGTTCATACATATTGGCGATGTGCAGTCATTTGTTCATTAGCGTGGCGCATAAAACTCATCAAGGCCAATTAACATTAACGCAGGCAATCAGCGAGTTGGCCCGGCATTCAGTTCGTCCTTGTCGTCGCCTTGGGCGCCTCGTTCGCTGTTTGCGGGGCGGATTTGGGCGGTCCCAGGACATTAATTATCTTATTGGCCTATATTCCGCTCACCGCAGCATCCGCAGCCCGTCGAAGCCGAAGTGGCAATATTTGAAAGTCTATTAAACGCTCAGCGCTGACAATCAATGTTGGCAGAGCAGCAAATATTGCCCATCTGCTTTTATATGTTGGTTCAGGAATGTATATGTGTATATTCCTGTGCCGCAGGACGGGGCCGAATTATTGAACATGATATTGAATATGACCGGCTTGAAGCCCGTGGCTCCGAGCGGCGATTGTCCAGCGGATCGGACCGAAATCAAAGCCACAAAAGAAATCCCAGTTTGCATATTAACAGCAGCTGCTGCCCGGCCAAAAATTGAATAGGCGGGAGGTGGGCTCATCCACCATCAGCGGGCCCGGGAATATAGTCCTGCACATCCTTTGTCAAGCTGAAAATGCAAATTGCCATGACATGCCCTTAACCATTTACCACACGGCGCCCGGCCATCGAGTTCTATTTTTTCTACCCCCCGGCTGTTTTCTTTTCCCGGCCTTCTCTACTCGCTCGCCGGCCACTTCTGGCTCGCTGGCATAAAGCAAAACGCAAAGGGAAATCAGCAGCGGACATGGAAAGCAATTGCAGAGCTGGAGTTCAAGAACAGCCAGAAGATACCCTATTGTATAGGGTTATTTCAAGAAAAAATAAGAATTTCCAAAAGATTTAATTAAACGTTTATCCAAAATCGAATTTAAAAAACTTAAAAGCATTTGAGTCTTATTTATTTGTATCAGTGGTGCATAATAAAGTGGAACTTTTTCTAATTTTCTTTGAATCAATATTACCAATATATGTATTTGAAAAAGCCTCTTCATGTTATACAGACGAAAATACCAATAAAAATCTTGTGCATTGCTATATTTAACTGTGCACACATACTCCATTGCGCAAATTCATTCTAGCATTTACTTTATTAAATAAAAGAGCGCTGTTATGTAACTTAACATAGTTTTTGCAATATGTGTTAAATGTTATCGATAATAATCGAAAAAGCGCAGCCAACTTCAGTCGAAAGAAGAAGAGAAAATGAAAACGTGCTAGTTAACCAAGAATTTTTAAGATTACTTTTTGAAATAGCACAACAAGTTAACTATTCTGAGGGATTGTTTCGGTTATATCGAGTATTCTTTTGTTACCCCTCATTGCTTACAAGGTATGCAGAAAGTTTGCAGGCAAAGAAAATGCTCTTTGCAAAAAACATGAGCCAATTCTCCCGAGCTTTTTGACCATACGTCTGCGGTTAAGTTTGCCCCAGCCAGGAGGATTCATCCCCATTGAAGGTGGGATCCCCCTTCACCCCCTCCCCTTCGATCCCCTGAAAGAAAGCTACCCATGGGAGGGTCGAGGAGGAAAGCGAAAAAAGGCAAGCCACACAAATTGTTTGGGACGGCGGAAGGCAACCTGCGTGAACCCATGCAAATTTCTCCCTCAGGTAACCTTTGTGCTTTGATTGATTGATGGACAGCCGGAGAGCGGAGTCGCCGTGGTCATCATCTCCGTAGCCAGTTTTTCTTTCTTCCGAAAAAACTCCGATATTGAATTTAATTTGTAGACACGCGTAAGTGAGAGAGGCGTATGCAAATTCCACTTTCCACTTTCCACTTTTACCTTCCGCAAATTGAAAACAAAGGTGCACTACTGGGCATCGGACTTTGGTTTTGATTGCGGGCATTAACAACTTTTGACATTGTTTTACATTTCTGGGGAAATCAAAGGAAAAGGTAGCGAAACCCAAAATCAATCCCTTGCCGGATTCAATCAAAGTGTCAGCCTGGAGTGAGATGAAAATGCGTAGCGGACTCCTCCGTTCTGTTCTGCTCCGCTTTCCTGGCCAACGAAATTTATTGTCAAAATTAATTAAAAATTGTAATGAGTTCTGTTTGGCTGGACGGGCCAAATCAGACTCAACTTAAACACATTGACGGCGATTAATTTGTTTGGCATTTCGCAATTTGATTTAAAATTAAGCCGAACACCGGCATGAATTTCAATTAGATCCGAATTTCGAATTTCGGATTTCGGTTTGTCGGACAGCGGTCTTGGCCATTTCATGCCAATTTGATTGGCCTGTCAGCGGGCCAGAAATTTAGCTCTTCAACCGGCGGCAGCCAGCGGGTGATTTTATTTACCGCTTGCTCTGCAACGGCAGCGAATTTAAACCGCTTCGGCCCGACTGACCGAATCGATTTAAAGTCAAATTGCGCAATAAAGTGCGGGGCAAATCAACAGCTAAATATTGCAAAATATTTGCAGTGCAACGTGCCCGAAATAAGTGCGATTGCAGTTGGCCTGTCACATGGCCGAAATGAAAAGCCATTTACATAGTTGTTCACTTGTCCCAGTTTCCCTCTCGAAGAGCTCACTTGATATGGAATACATTTTTTTCTGCCCTCTGCACTCTGCAATTGCACCGGACTCACAGGACTAACAGGACGGCAGGACGGCAGGACGAGTGCAAAATCGTGTTAAGTTAGAGGGCAGTGAGGAGTGGCTATAGAACAAAAACAATTTCGTCCGACGGTGCATATGCATATGCACAGAAATATGAATTCCGGCATGGGAACATGGCATATGAAAATGTACATTTTCGGCCGCCCGGGGAGAAGGTGCAGCTGAATATTGACAGGGCAAGAAAAGGGAATTGTTTCCGGCATGACAATTTACAGATTTCTCTCGTATTCCGGAGAAAGTACTGCATTGTTGCCTGGGAACTTGGAATTTGAATTTCATGTGGGCGGCTCCTAAAAGGCTGCTTACATTCATTGACAACCCTCGCTTTGTTTCATTTAAGGACTTGCCCGAGAAGAAAGGAGAGAATTCCTGTTTTTCCTCAACAATTTGTTTCATAACTCGTTTTGTTACTGGTAAAAAATGCTTTGACATTCAAATGTGCAAAGAGATCTACATATCCACTATAAAAAGTAGCCTTCTGTCTTTGGGTTGCCCCAATTTGCTGCCAGTTTGCACTCTCCCAAAATTAGTGAAGCACTCTCGACGGGGTTTTAATTCGGTCAATTATTTGAAGTATTTGACGATTAGCTAACCGCGTGCATTGGCAAAGTTTTTCAATTAATTTCCACCCACCTTGGATGGGAGTTGAGTTCACCTCCCTTATTTTCCACAGACGAAGACCGGAAATCGAAGCTCGGCAAGAGCAATTGCGGTGGCGATTTGACAAATTGTCCAGGTGAGAGCCCTTTTGTTTTGTCCACCCACCGAAGTGTGG